GCATTACTTTGTCGAGTGGCACAGAGGGGCACTCCCTTCTGGCATACTTACACTCTGTATGGCACTTGCTCGCTACTGTGAGGCTACTGTGTCGTGTCTGTCTAATTAGCCAGCATCACGCGGGAAATGGGAAATGGAAAATGTCTGCTTAGCCTTTGGCAAGGCACGGGCAGTGGCACGGACCCTGATGCAGCACGACACTGTGGCATGCAACAGCTGTCCGCTTAGCGTTGTTCTCATTGTATTTAAATGCTCGTAAAATGCAAAGCAAACAAGTGATAAAAGTTGCACAAACACACACACACACGCACACGCAATGCAGCCAGGAAGAGTGCCCCGTAATGTGGCAACATAAAAAATGCATCAACCGCTTGTAAATGCTGCTGCAGGGCACTCGAAATGAGGCAGGGCAGGACCCCTGACTACCCTGACTCAGCACTCTGATCGGTCTGTAAATTAATTTCTCCAGCCATGCTGCATAATCGTAAAGGGTTTTGTCCCGAGAAACTGCTGAAATTTTGAATTGTAATGGATGTATCTCCTACCCATGGCATTTTTCTTCCGTGAGTTTACGCAGGGCTTTATGCCTGCTGTTTTCCATTAACGAAACTTTTTATGTCCATGCCCGGAGAAGAGGGTACTCTCGGGTACTTCCTGCCATGCACAAACCAAATACGCGGGCAATTAACCCTTTTTTCCGGCAATTAAGTCCGTTCTTTATGCCGCATTCTGCCCACTCCTCTCCCCTCATCTCTACGCCTGTTACGATGCCGCTTTTGATGTTTGTTTTACGGTTGTCAAGGACTCAGGATGATATTAAATTTATATTAAAATCGAGCAAACGGAGGTCAAAATGGAATATAATTGGAGTTCAATTCACCCTGGGGTGCAATCAAAGTAGGCTCTTAATTGTTTCATATGGGTCACAAAAGTCGAATCACACATACCACATGTTGGTCGAATGGAAAATCATTCGCCAGGCAGTGTCTGTACATCAAATTAAGTATCGACTTTAGGCGCAGTCCCACGTAGGCCCATAAATCTGTACAGCAAACCCCAGCGCAGGAGTGAACTTTGTGAGTTATCAAACTTGTTTCATGTTGTCCATGTGCAGATGTAGGCGCATCAAATTGAAAATCTCTTTACGTGACCTCGCTGCGAGGCATGTCCTTGCCTGTTTTGACATCGTTAAGCATGCTACAAAATGCATGTGCAGCCGGCGAAACTTTTCTTCGAGTCAGTCTGAAAGCTGAGTTACGAACGTTTATTCTGACATTAGAGAACAGCTGGGAGCTTGGAGTCTAGTGGAGGCGAGCCGCATCTCTAAGTGGACTTCTTTGTCTCCGACAGAGTGGTTTTTCATTAGAAACATTCTCCTGGCATTGTGGATGTCTCCTCTTCACTTCTCAAGCACTTCATTTTGTCGGATCTCAGGCAAAACTTTTCACTCACATCTCCCCGAAACGAATGTGTAATAGAAAACTTGCTCCAGTTTTTTCCACAGAAAAAACTCACACATTCAAAAGATGCTACTGCTCGCATGTGAATGGATGCTTTGAAGCATTCTTTTTGATAGAGAGATTGGGTTAATTTAATAAAGTAAAGGCCATTCAACCTATTACATTCCTAGAAAATTTCCGGTCGAAAATGGAACGGAGTTTCCAATCAATCTCTGGCGGACTTGCTCTCAAAATACAAATAATCTCTCCCACCCCACTGCAGCTCGGTTCAAGGGTAGCTTATGCAAATGCCGAGGCCTGCAGGGATTGCAGCCAGGACCAGGACAACAAGAGTGGCATGTGTGCCACCGGGGCTAATCCTGTTAGAACTTGGAGCCAAACATCGTGCATCGTGTGTCGGGGTTTATGGGGCAACTGTTGCCTGGCGTGGCCCTCAGCTCAAAATGAAATTAGATGATGCTGGAACAGCACAAGCAGGAGCAGCAGTGCCGCCAGACGTTGTAATTAAATTAAATTGCTTCAGAGTTGGTATAAAACATACAAACGGTCCTCGGGGAGAGGAAGAGTAAGAGAGAGAGAGGGTGGGTGGGCGACATGTGTGCCGTGTCAAAGTTCGCGCGGCATCTGCATACTCGCATATTTGTTGCCTTGCCAATTGTGTAAAATGAAGGCAGTTAAAAATGGTAGCCATCCGACTATGCCTGACAGGGTCTGGTCTGAGTGTGCCCCATTCCCTGCTTCATGTTTTAAGGATCACCCTGTATGGCAGCAAACATTCAGCGTAGCTGCCTAATTTCATTAATTCCCCGCAACCTGTTGTCTGAGCCCCAGAAACGAGCCAAACTGAACGAGTTCTGGGTACAAAAAAATTCAATTTAACTTTGCCCCCAAGCCAAAATGAATTTCTTCTGGCTGCAATTGACATGGCCAAAACGGCGAGATGGGGATGTGGTATTGTTTGGTTTGGTTTGGTTTGGTTTGTGCGGTGCGTTCTTGTTCTTTTTTTGGGCACTTTTTAGGGTTGGGCCACAAACAAGAATGAAGAATGGCGGCGCGTAATGAGCATAATGGATCCCATCTGCAGCGAAGGAGCAACGTTTAAGTGCTGCCGCCCCATATGCATATGAGGTTTAGCTGGGATCTGGGGATCATCTTCCGATTTCCTTTTAACATTTTCTCAGCCAGTTTTAGCTCAGCGTCAACGAGGCATTCAAGTGCTTAAAAGCCAAAGCAAAGTTTTCCAATTTTTTATTGAACGAAACAAATATAATGTGTGCTCAATATTAACGGGGCGTGCGTGCGGGCTTTGGAGAGTCGTTAAAAGTGCGTAAATGTTGCCACGGCTCATTGCCCGCCAGCTCAATTTAAGCCATCGCTCGGTCTTCTCCTTGAAGCAGCTTTTCTCCTCAAAATCGACCCTAATCACATTTGAGCCCCCCAGCCATGTCGGAGTGCTCGTTCCCCTCGTGACCTTGTCAAACAGCCAGATAGGAAGAGTCAGAGAGAGCGAGAAAGAGCCAGGCAGGCAGTCAAGGACGACTACCAACAAGTGCAACAATGCTGATGCAGTTGAGCTTGGCCCTGGGAAAATTTATTACCATGGTTGGCGGTCACGAGACCGCAGATCTGGGCTCTGGGAGCTCTGTTGAATGATTTTCTGTCTGCCAAAACGTGGACTTGTTTAACCCAGTCACTTGTTGGCCCCAAGGAAGTTTGCTTTGCGGGCTTCTTCCGCTATTCCGTTGGTGTCTCTACTAATTGGATTTTCGGTTGGGCGTAACAACTCAAGAACTGCACAATCCTAATATCGCAGACAGAGAGTGAAAGAATACAAATTTTTCATTTGGTATTTGCACCTTCTTCATATTCCAGCACACAGCTTCTGCTGGTGCCTTTGCTGCCAATAAAGGAAGAGTGAAACGTGTCAGGATGTGACACATTTGATTGAATGCCTGCAGTCCCATCAATTTTTGGGCTCGATGATGTGTATAGAATGTGGTATACGTATGCCAAATTCTGGCTAGTATTTGAATTCGTCAGCGGCATTTGACTGATAATTGAAAACGTGTCAACAAGCCAACAATTTCCGCAGCACACACGGAGAGCCCACGCAGCTCTTCGGATACGTGTCATGGAAGTTGGTTATAAAAATTACATTTTGGCACCCAAAAACTGCCTTACAATGAAGTCGGTGTCAGTGCCTAAACTTCCAAGGTGGATTAGGCTGTCGTATGACAATCCTCGTATCTTTTCACTCCGTCAAGGGACGGAGAGAGAGAGAACATTGATGGCTGGCAAAATAAATTGAGTTGCGTTGAAGCCTTCCTTGATAGTTATTTCTCTTGCGGTTATCTTTCTCAGGAAACTCAATTTCCTGTGTCTTGCGGGTGGTCAGTGAATTACATTAATAGCTCGTCTCGTCACGCAATTTGTGTCACTTGCCCCAGACCGCTGCTTAATCTGAAGACATAAGATAAATATGATTCAATCAACCCATTCAAAGTTCTCTAAGAGACTGACTCATGAGGTTCTGCTCAAGTTGAGTTCATTAGTCCCCCGGACAAGAATTTGTCACGTTGCGTCGTTCGATTCAAATTAAAATGTCACACTGCTAGACGCTCAAATTAAATTTTTTACGAAAAACATGTTTTTTATGTCTGAATGTAAAACATGATCCATAGCATTTTAATGATTACAAGACATACTGTTATCGCGTGACCGATGAGCTTTATGCTGCCTTATGAGTTAAGTAATATCAGCAGTCTTAGGGACAATGGGTCTACAAAGTGCAAAAAATGCCTCAGAAGGGGTTTGCCAGAAGTAAGTGATTTTCGCTGCTTTCCAAGTAAAACCAATAAAACTCTTATCTTAGAGTTGATGAAGCTTACTTCTCAATGAATCAGCCCAGGTACTCGTACTCGCACTCATAGTATGTGTATAGGTCAGCAAAAGGCGTGAAATTGTGGTTTGCTCAAACTCAATCCACTCTGTGGCGACGTCACGAAGTCCAGATTTATATTATCGCTCAATTGCCAAGGCCCTGCTAATGTCAATGTAAATATTAGCGAACAGAGCTAGACCGTACGTTCTGCCTTATCGATCAGATAGTGGCACGAAAAATAGTAAGAGAGCGAGTTCAGAAGGAGATAATAATAGTTTTCGAGTATTACCAATAGGTCAGTCGCTCTCTTATTGCGAAAATAAAGTCAATTATTACTCATATTTACAGCCATATAATATTAAAATTACATTCTAAATCGTCTCTGGGCAACATGGCAATAAAGAAATGATTACAGTTTGACATTGACCTTTACTGTATCTTTCTCAACATTGTTAATTATATTTGAACATTGTAAAATGGTTATTATTGGCTGAGTTCAGGTGAGCGGCGAGAACGTGCTCGGACAGAGGCAATAAATTCTCCGATAAACGATCGTGGTGTCGATTGATAACGCACACCAGACCACTGTCTGTGTTGAGGTTTGTTCTGGCCCGGGAAATGCTGAGCGGACGAAAAGTTTAGTGTTCAGTGCAGAGAGTTTCTCCGTTGGAGTCGGACGTCTTATATAGTACGGGTATATGTCGGATCGGAGAAGTGAGCAAAGATAAAAGCGACTCATGCGACTGAGTCATGCAAAATGAATTCGTTGTGGTGCGTCGTACTCGTTCTGACCTTGACCCTCCCATGGGAGTTGGAGGCTCTTATAAGAGACTATCCGTTATCTGAGCTCCGTGCATCCTTAAATTCGCGGGGAAAACGTGATGACTCTGATTCAACAACCGATCAAATCCCATATGAACAATGTCCGAAGGAATGGAGGCTTTGTCGATTGGAGAACGGCAGACAGAAGTACTACGACTGCGATCATCAGCAGGAATTTAATGAACTCGACTTGTTGTACTGTGATGCCACAAGCTGCCAACCGGAGGAGTTTCAGCACGACTATATTGTACGAAACCACGACCAGACACCGCACGTGAACCAATGGAAGCGAGCCAGAGTCGGAGAGAACGCCACTTTGCACGATGTGTGCATCCTCAGGAACGGAATGCCGGTCACAAGGAGGTGTGAGAAAATCGGATACAGGGCCAAGTGGGAAGTAATTGATAAATGGCAGCGTGTCGTGTGTCTGAGACGCTTTAGGGAGCGTACGATCAGTGTACAGCTAAACAGCCTGCACGACGATATCCTCGAGGGAAGGCGGCGAGCCAACGATACCCAGGGTCGACAACTGATGGCGGCCACGATGAGGGACTTGTTTAGACAGCCCGACAAAAGTGTCCTGCCCGCCGATGTGCATATGACGGGGCAGGTCCTTGGTGCCCTGATGGAGCAGGAAAAGGATGCGGCGGTCAGCGCGGACTTGGTCAGTGTTTACAAAGAGATCATGTCCACCGACAGGGAGGTGTTGCGCCTTTCCGCCCAGCTGAATGCCACCAACTCGCTGCTCACACAATTCGAGAACTACATGGACGGCCTAGCCACGCAGATGGTGTCCAGGGAGAGGTGTGGCAAGATCGTAACCCAGGCTCAGGCAGCCAGCGATGCCGCCGAAGTGGCAGCCAGAGATGTGGAAACTGTCAACTTCTCGGACATCGGAGTCCAGGCCCTGTTGAGCAGCAACCTCAGTGTGTTCTTTGTTAGTCCGGAGTGCGACAACATCACTGGCATTGCCATCTACTCCGCTAACTTCGTGGGCAGAAAATCCAGCAGCGACTTTTGGTATCGATTCCTTCGCTCCAGCGATAGTTTAGACAGCCTGAAGCGGGAGTCCGACCTCGAGGTGGCCACCTTCCTGCCCAAACAGCTGTGGGAAAAGGTGAAGAAGCTCGGAGCCACTTACTTGGTCTTCAAGATCTATGCCCACGACGCTCTCTTTGTGGAAATGTCGCTGACACGCAATCGCAGGCCCCGCAGCAAGGTGATATCCATCTCCATACCGGAAATACGGGGTGAGTAATCTTCCACTATTAAACGAAAGTTGGCTTCAGGTTTCCCCTGTCTCTGTTTCAGATCATACCTTGCCCGAGAGCCTGCCCTTCCTGCTGCGCAATGAGAACATCCGTGAGCCGGATGCGCGGTCCATCAGCACGGGCAGCGGCTGCGGCTACTGGGATTATTCGACCTGGTTGGTGAACGGCGTCACCACCAGCAGCAGCAGCAGCAGCAGCAGCTCGGACCTGCTCCGGGATCCGATCATCGTTTGCCACACGAACCATCTCACCCAGTTCTCATACCTCATCGGCGGCAGCTACCGCACCAATGACCTGGGCGAGGAAGTTCTCATCACGCCCCTCAACGAGCGAGTGCTGGACATCATCTCCATTGTGGGCTGCTGCCTGTCGCTGATGGGAGTGATTGGGATCTTCCTCACCGCCGCTCTCTTCAAGAGTTGGCGCAGTCAGGCCTCCACCAAGGTGCTGCTGCATTTGTGCCTCGCCATGACCCTCCAAATGGTTCTCTTCGTCTTCCTGAACACCGACGACATATCCGAACAGCTGGTCGTTAACGGAGACACCGCACGCTGTGTGGCCTTGGGGGCATCCCTGCAGTACTCAATTCTTGTGCTCTTCGGCTGGATGCTCATAATCGCCTTCCTGCAGTTCCAGCGCTACGTCACGGTGATTGGCATTGAGAGGCCCAGCCACTATATTCTGAAGGCAGCTCTGGTGGCCTGGTCCCTGCCATTGTTGCCCACGTTGTTGGTGGCCTTCATTGACCCCGACTGCTACTTGCCCTCGACCGCACAGCTGGCAACCGACACTGGCATTTGCTACCCATCGGGGAATGGTCTCATCTTTGGACTGGTGCTGCCCGTCACTCTTGTCACTGTGGCCAACCTGGTGATCTTTGTGTACGTCTTCTACAGCATCTCGCACTCGCTCAGCCAGAGCGTTCACAAGTCCGAGCGGAAGATGGTCGTCAAGCAGATTCGGCTCTCCATTCTGCTGTTCTTCCTGCTGGGGCTCTCCTGGATCTTTGGTATCTTCGCCTTCATGCAGGCGGGCGTGGCCTTCTCGTATCTCTTCTGCATCACGGCCACCATGCAGGGATTCGTGCTGTTCGTCTACTTTGTGCTCTTCGATGAAGCTGCTCGACGTTCCTGGATGGGTCTCTTGTGCCCCACCAAAATGTCAATGAACGTGCAAAAGCGCAACACCGAGCTGCAGTCGATGACCACCTCATCTACCAATTACTCGCACAGATCACATCATTAGCGGGGGAATCACATTCAGCTCTCCAGAGATATTTCCATCTCCCAGTCCCACCTTTCCAGTCAGCTCTCTTCTTCCACCCAACGAACAAACTGTACTCAACACGTGTATTAAATATTTATTGTATTTTTATTGAAACTTCCCCCTTAGTTTTGTAGAACTACCTGTAGAGTTACGCAGTGCAATGGTAAATTTAGTGCCAAGTTTTAAACTGAAAAGTGTGGCACCCTTGGCCATCAACCAATGCGATGAGCGGGGGCTGTGCACAGTGGGCTAAGTATTTCCTTGTACACGCTCAAACAATTCCATGTACTTTGAAATACTTTGCATACAATTCTTGTACTTATTTTTATTACAAACTTTACTCAAAGTAATATCGATCCACTGTGCATAAATTTGTGTTGATTGTGCGCCGAGGGTGGGTTGCGTGTGCCTGTATTTTGATGAACGGCAGGTGTGAAACATTTCAGTGGCCCAAAATAACGACCTGACCGCCGCGTCGTTGGTGGCTCTGTGAGGATTCCCAACGCTCGGATATTTATTGTCTAAAGGAATCTTACGACGTTTGCCCAAGTGCTTCGAAATTAATGGCCATGGCAACTGGAGGGCAGTAAAGGGAGTGGGGGGCAGCCCCAGGAGGGGCTTTAAAGGCATGTTACCTTTGCCTCTGGCATTTGCGATGGCTCGAAGGATCGTTCAAATCGATTCACTTGGTTTCTTAATTATGAGCTGTGCGGATGTAAATGGAAAATGCTTTCTCATTGATTAGCGGAACGTTTCCACACGCTCTCCTCCACATTCGATGCTGATTAATGGCCCATGTCCATGTCAGTGGCGTTGCGGTTGGGTGAGATTAATCGGTTGGTACAGGAACGAGCAAATACCTTTGGCATTACCTCCCGTCTGGCTGCATCGCATTTGCTGGTTTGTGGGCAAACTTAATACAGGTAAATGCATTAGAAATGGAATTTCAAAAGGTGCGGTTTCGACTCGGCCAGACAGCACGTGGAGAACTCAGGGAATTAATATTAAAACATGCTCGAGATGAGTTTTGAGCAAAGGAGCTCAAATCATGCGCAACTTGAAATACATTGCTGAACATTCTCCTCTCCGGCCAACAAGCCAACAATGTCAAGGGTCGCAGCCCAGGAAAGGGAAAAAGGCAATGGCAATGGCAGCGACAGAGAAAGGACCAAAAAACAGAGACGGAGAGAAAATGTTAGCCAAGTCAAGCAAAAGGTTGGCAACAAGCAAAAGAAAGCAAACAATGTCTTGGATGTGTGCATTAAAAGTCAACGACTCGGCAAATGAATTGCAGGCACAAACAAATTAAATAAGCGCAGCAACTTTTGCTCGCCATTTCTTGATGTACCTGTAGGTGACCTCTAGACCAAATTCTTCTCTCGCACCAACGAAGGTAAAAGGACGGAGCAAAGTCGCAAAGGTACATCAGGGTATTACATGGCCCCACCTCCACCTGTGCCGCTTCAAGGCATCCACGGAGATGTTGCCATTAAATGTGTTTAGTGGTAATCAATAATCTCCGTGGTTTGCGTTAATTAGTCTAATCTGATGGTCATTTCTGGGTGTCTGGTGTCTGGTGAATGAACATAATTAAAGTTAATTAAGCTCTGCAGCAGATTAAACATAAATTTAATAAGTGTACACAAGACCTACGTATCGATTGGAATGGGATGACAATTAATTTGCCGACATTTCTGATACATGCCAGTACGGGTATGCGGCACATGTGTCGTAAGGGAAGCGCTCACGTTTCTGTATGGCAATTGCAGATCCGATTTCACAGCTCAGCATCTGACATAATTGCACCTCTGACAATGGGCACAGGACCCACTAATCAAAGCTTTAATATTTGGCTAAGCAAAGAGCATACGGAAGAGAGTCCGAATAAGAGAATGGAATTCTCTGAGCATGCGCTGCTCTTCTTTGCTTTTATGCCCCGCCTGCATTTGCTTACGTTACGTGTACTCAATTCCTCTCCCACCTTACGTACACGCCAAGGAGGCTTCTTTTGGTAGAAAGAAGCCAGAAAGGACGTACAAGAAGAAACCCAAGCACCAAGCCTCTGCCGAAGGCCAGACAACAGTGTGCGGCATTCAACGCATTTGAACGGTACTCAGGCGGAAGTGCGAGCTCCAGTGAAAGTCCACCCCGGACAATCATTTGGCGCATTATGGAACGTGTCTAGGCATCTTTCAGGCCAGCTAGCTGCCAGCGAAGGGTCCAAAGTGTTTTAGAGGCACATTTAAGGCGCTCGCAAAATTCAAATCCATTAAAGTGTCATTAGGGTGTCGCATAAAATACAAAAGGTGTTCTCACACACACAGCACACAGCAGAGAAATTAATTAAAAAAGGCAAACTCAGGTCCGAAATAAATTGCGCATAAGATTTATGCAAAGGGTCCTACAGCCTCAGCTACAGCTACAGCTTCACCGTTTTGGTGTTTGGCTTAGCTCCGAGTCCCTGTGAAATTTCTTGGATTCTGAGGAGCGTGCTGGTGCAGTTGCTGGCTCTGCCTCAAACTTATTCAATTCATTAAGCATTAAGTACGATGGCAATAAACATGGCCTAGACACGTGCTGGTTCACAGGTTGCCAGTATTATTAGAAATACATATATATAGGTACATATTTGAGGGGGGACTGTAGGCGCCAGGAATAGAATATTAAATTTGCTTTCGTGCAGGCTCCTGGGAAGGTCAGCGTTTTGCACGCAAAAATTAACAAAAATAGATTTTAAATATTAACGCGAGGCATGCGAGGCATCTTGTTGTTCACCTTAGCGGAGAGGGTTGCCAAAAGAGTTACGAAAACGTATGCTTTGAAGTGTAGTCTACTGTTGTATCAGCCCTCGCTTGTGGCCAAGTGACCCTTCACTGTTGTTTGTCTTATATGTATGCATTGTTTGCCCCATAAAACAGAAACAGAAAACACCAGGAGCACCAGCAGCACCACAGCGAACGTCAGATTCAGATTGTTCCAGGACACAGGCAAATGAAGTAATATGTAAAGCAAACAAGCAGACACACACAGAGACGGATGGGCTTTACAGATACAGATACACAGTAAAGCGCACACACAGACAGACACTCGACGAAGGACACTGCTTCTGTGGACAATTAAGCGCTGTGCTTAAGCCTGATGAGGTTTTCAGCGCGAGATAAATATCACCCAGTGCCGGTGCCTGTCCCCACGGGCTGCCTATATGTATTACTCGGACATGTATAGTACATATCTGTGTCTGCCCATCCGGTTGGGGCTACGAGCCGAGTGTAATAATTGCGATAGCATATTACATCTATTTACTGAAGTACGAGCGAGTATGAGATTAATTTGATTACCAGCGAGGATGGGCGAGTGTGCTTGGGTGGCTGATGGTGAGAGAGCTGATTATGTTGCCTACTTTTATAGTGAAGAAATGTAGTTTATGAACTCCCCTCTAGCGAGGCAAGTCGGAGTCCAATTTCTAACCTGTTGCGCCCCTTCTGCGGTACATTGAACCTTTCTTTGCCAGAACTTTTATTGCCCGAAATTTGGCAAACACTTGCCAGACATTAAATTCTATTTGGACTAGCTTTTCATTAGCAGCTAAACATGAATTAGCCTTTAAGTCGATGTTAGTGTACCTCATATTGTCCTTTGTCCTTTGTCTGTTGCTTTTGTTTAAAGTTCAGAGAGCGTGAAATGCTAACAAGTTAATTGAAATTCCTGCAGCGTTCCACGTGCGATTGTTTGCTCTTGGGACACAACAACGGAAAAGTCAACTCACCCATAGGAAAGCGTTTCTTTTAACCATTTTCTTGCTGGTTTTGCTTTTACTTTTTGCCTTTATCCTTTGCCTTTCCCTCTGCCTTTGCCTTTTCCTTTGCCTTTGCCCATTTCCTTTGGGCAGTCAGCAGTCGGAGCTAAGCAAACACTTTGCTGTGGTGTGAAAAATGTAGACAAGTGCAAATTTATATTCCCCTCCGTGCGGCAGCTGGTGGGGACTAGAGCACTGAGAGATATATATATATCTAAGAGAGCGCAGTGTTTAAGTGCCATCTTTGATGTGAGACATAAAAAATATTTAAATATTGTTGTAAGAGACTTTCGCCAACAGACATACTGAGAGCCTTTTGCATTGTATATTCAGACAATGTATCTTCTGGGCTTTACTCTGTAATGGTCCACCTGCACTCCCTACATCTCGAATTTAGTTCCAGGTGTGCGCAAAGGAAACCTGCACAAACTATGAAGTTTATTGCTTGTCAGCGCACAACTTTTGCCAACTGAAATACTAAAGCAGTACACGGCATTGGGGCTCTAAAAGTGGGATTTACACACCCCAAAAAAGTAAAAGTAACCCAAACATAGATGATAAACTCTCGCCCTTCTATATCTGTATCTGTATATGCATATCTGACGTATGCACGAGCCTCAGGAGCCGCTAAAAGCCACACCGCATCAATTTTGCCCCGGGGAATTGCGTCAAAATGAGAATGTGTAGCCGCTATTTGCATACAACTAAATATATCAGAGAGCCACATTGGATTCTGGCACACTGGTGCCCAAAAGTATGCGCCTCAACTTGGTTTATTTTTATCATAAAATTACGAAAGGCTTTGGCAGCATGCAAAGTGGCCATAAAATGATGGAGGTCTGGACTCAACCCGACATTTATCTTCATTTTTTTGCCCATTGTGTATGTGGCATTGGGGAATATTGCACAAAGCGCATAAACTTATTAACTATGCAGAAATTCCTTTTATTTTTGCATACTGCTGCAGGATACACAGGGAATACGCCAGGGCACAGTGGCGTTTTGCAGTGGTGGGGCTGCTGTCAGTCGCAAATTTGTGGCTCATTCTTGTATTATGATGAATGATTGCCAGCTGGGAGTTGTGCCGTCGAAGGAGGAGCAGGAGTGTAGGCACAGGCATAGTCAGAGTCACAGGAGACAGAAGGAAGAATGCCAAACAGCATAAATTATGTACAGGTTGAAAGGTCAAAGGTAAAGCTAGCTTTCTTGCCGAGCTCCTCTCCTAGCTTATGCCTCGGGGGGATTGTGGCATCTTCATTAATGTCAAAGTAGACAACTCAAGGCAAGGAATTTTGAAATGCTTTCTGCTAGTTTTCCAATTGACTGCAGCAAAAGGCAAACTATTTTAATTAGTTTTTCGGTATCCGAAGAGTTTGTTCAAGCTTTAATTACAGTAGACCCAAATAGCGACAGACAGCCATAAGAAAGTGGAATGGAATGCCGAGCATGTCGTGCCTGTGCAATATAAAATCGATGATCCATTTGGACGATCCCGATAACTGGAGGGTGATTAGGAGCGAATGGTAATGGGTCTGTCTGAACGCACCCTTCTGGATGGAAGGACACTCCCTGCCAGCGGGGAGGAGCAGGCTTAGGTAGAAATAGAGGTAGAGCAGGTCTCGAGTGCGCCAAGTCGATTGGAAAGCAATTCGCTTGCCCTTGTCATGCATAAAATATGAGCCAAGAGGGGCCATAACTCAATTTGCTGCCTGCATCCACGTTACATTTCTTATTTCACGATTTGGCATTATTGCTTGCCTTCCTCATACGAGAATGCTGCCCTCTCCGTATCATCATCATCATCGAATCGAAATCGAAATGTGAATCAGAGTAGGAATAAAAATAAAATGCCTGTCCTCAATTTAGATTAGTTCAAAAGCCCATCAAACTCATTACGTAGCATTCAGGATTTAGTTCTGGACATTTGGGCCAAGCTTTTGTGACCCTCTAAGGACTCTTTCCCGCTGTTTTGATATGCCCTAGAGGAGGGTATTTTGGTTTGCAGCATAATCGCTAACATATTTACTTATTTTATTACAGTTCCTCTATTCATCGAATTTTTACATTATATAACTACCAAAAGAGAGATCGTAAACCATGGATATCAAAACATTCGACTCTCGCAGCAGAATTCCATTTTTGTTTGTTTTTCCTTTTGTTCATTTTGACAGGGGAGTCCCCAAAACATATGTGACAGAGGATTTAGCACTCAACGGCAGCTGGACTCGCCCCAATGGGTAGCTGTTCCCTGAATATGATGCTGCTTTTGTATGGCATATGAAATATGTATTATGTATTATGTGGACAAACATACGTACATATGAACGCATAAATATACAATATGTGTTCATAAGCGGTGTGGTGAGCCGGAAAGGACCCTCATCAATATGGATATATGGCTGGCTGATGGTCATGTTTGAGCACCGGCTCGTGGCTTCAGCTTCTCGCTGAAGTTTGTTGAGTTAATTGCATAAATAATTTACATAATAATTACAAGTGAATCGTTTTGCTAGCATTCCAGTGCATTTCTGCATCATCAGCGTTCAAACAAACTCATACAGGAAACCCCGTCATCTCGCAGCTCGTTATTTTGCATATAAATCAAAATGCTAATGCAATCGAGTGGATATTTGCATTCTGCATAGTCCTCCGAATTGTAATTACGTAATGCCACAAGCTTATTTTCAGCCACGTCGAGCTTTAATTGCGTTTCCGTTTCCGTTAGCTGACTCATCAATATTTTAGGAGGGCCTGCCTCGACATTTTCAAGGAGCGGACTGTGAGAAGAGGACGGAAAGCCAATGCAGGAAATGCTCTACTGCAAATTCATTGTAGAGCCATTTTGGTGATTGTATTCGGGATCTGTGAAAACTTTTCCAACTCTCCCAGCAGGCGTCAATAAACCATAATTTGATTGTATTCGAATGAAATCTAAGTTATGAAATCTCTGCTGCATATTTAAATAAACATTCGAGTTACTATTCAAAGCTGCTTGTATAAAGGTAATCAATTAATTTAAACATCAATTAATTATTGGTCCTATTCCGCTCAGCTGATTTCCATTTTACAATCAATCGAAAAGTCGTTAAGCTGTTTTGCGATCATTTACCGATTGCTGCTCCCCATATGTTAATCTCAGCTACTCAGTCGATTCGATTGATGATCTGCCATTTGAACATCTCAATCGATCCGAGCACACATTAACCATCAACTATGGCGGCAGTAATACATCCATACTTAGCATATGAATCGAATTATGTGCTCCATTGTTGGCACATCTTCAGATCTAATCCATATTTGAGTGGAGTCATGATTCAGAGACGAGCTGAGCTGTATGACGGGACGGGCATATCGAATGACAAGACAAACGATCATTGAGAAGCTTTTGGTGCGCATTGTCAGGCACAAAGAGTCGAGTCGGTGATTAAAAATCAATATAAAATACACCACAAAGGGGTTCAATCACGGGTTTGGACACGCTTCTACATCTCTATATAGAAACCATTATGCAAATGTTCCATAGATGAGTGAATACACGACCTCTTGTAAGGCGACCACTCATAAAGATGATTTATTCAGTTGCTTTAAACCAAATCTGCATAATTATAATGGCGTGAACCACCCAAAGACGTCGCCTGGCCGTCTGTGCCAAAAATCAGCGGTTAGCTGGCTAACTGACTATCTGTGGGATCTCCAGAAGTAAGCTGAGAAATGGCAGAGATTGTCTTTTTGGGGGTTTGGCTGAAGTAGTGGGAATCCGTTGATCGATTAAACTGGATTGCTAAATATATAGCCTCTCTATGCATAAATCACGTGCCAGTGGCGACGAAAACAGAATTAGTCGGAGGAGCAAAGCATGGAGAGCGGTGAATGTCTGTGACTGGGCCCGATCGCCGCTCGGATGGCTAGAAATTTATGTAAATGCATGGATGAAGACCCTGAACTTGAAGCGATTCGCTGGAGAATGGCGGACGCGGACCCCACCAAAGCACCTCGCTTCAGTCTGTTGTTGAGCGAAACGGAGAGCGGTCGAAGATCGTGCTAGAATTTAAAGATAATAGTTAATCAGGAAACCATGTACAAGTCGTGCTCTTACGTAAGTTTTGCCCCAAACGAATCGTATTTATCATTCAACTGTTTGCCATTTAACTTGCAGTTGCTGCTCGTCTCAATGCTGGCTGTGATTGCTGCCGGTACGCAGAGTCGGGAATATTTGCCACGCCGCCAGCCCCAGGCGTACTTCTACTCGACACCGACTCCTCCCGGCACCATGGCAGCCTTACGGCGGATTATTCAAGGCCATTTGCATCGCTTCCAGCAGGCTGACAGCGCACAGTTCTCGCGTCGAGCCCTCAATCACCAGGCCAAAACGGAAGTGGGCTCCAAGACGATGCAGTTGTTGGTCTACCGCATGCCTGCCGCTTCGGAGAACATACTGGACTACGCCCTGCCACCGAATACGCCGACACCAAAGAACTATGCACAGAATTTCCTACCCGACGGGAAGGATGTCGTACCCGGAAGCTCTTACATACCGCTGCGATTACTCTTGATACGACGCTGAGGCTGCGGCTGAGGCTAATGCTGTGTTGTTGTCGCGTTGTCGGCGGCGGCACCGTGTGTTGTTCAAACGAGTTCGGTTCGGATTCGGCTTCTGGCTGGGCTGTTCTGTGATGTGGAATGCCGTAGCCGCGAATCGCAGCGGAGGCAGCCAGTAGATGAGGCTAATATGTTTTAATCTTACTGGTTCTTATAGTATATAACTTAACGATATTTTAATTCTTTGTTTTAAGGCCAGTGCTGGCATTTAAGTGCGACAATCTAATTTAAGTCAAAACCAAACATCCACGAGATCCACGCATCTTCCCCTCACACTCCATGACTATGAGTTACGACCCTCTCACATCCAATAAAGCCGAATGAGCGATCTACCTGACGTCGTAATAATCTATGAAACACATTCAACAAAAACCCCGAGATGGTCATCTCATTTACATAAATTAGAAGCTATAAATTTAAACGACCGGGAAAACAACTTCCAAGCTCTAACCGGCTAAAACGGGTAAAAGCTTTCAAGCGATGAGCTTTTGCGAGCTGATGATGAGCTTTAGTGATGAGCAAACAAAATACATTCGGGACGGAAGGTTTCCGATAGATCTTTGTAAAATGCCCGCCAGATTCAAAATCGAAGAACTAAGATTATATTGCATAATTTAATAATATTGGCATTTAGGACTATAATTTGTGTTAATTAGTTGATGAACTTTGAACTGACATTTGGCTGGTGCGACTAAGCGCGGACTTCTCCTGTGTGCGCAGTGCGTCGATATCCATCTCCTCCTTGGACTTGAAGTTGCAGATTAAACCAAACCATGCTCTGCGGTTGTCCTTGTTGAGGATGATAAAATAGACAAACAGCACGAATCCCTGCAGCGTGGCCGTCAGGCAGAACAGGTAGGAAAAGACTCTGCCCCACTGAAAGTAGCTGCAGAATCCGAAGATCCACGTGAGGCCAAGCAGGAAAAAGAGCAGCACAAATAGCCTCAGCTGTTGTAGAACGTGCTTGCCTCGAGTATGCAGCGCGCAATAGACGCTGCAGGAGATGTAGCCGACCATTAGGGCGTTGGCCAGAGTTACCAGAGCGATGGGAAGAACCACGCCCAGGTACAGGCCATGGCCGCTGGGGTAGCACAGGACAGTGTGGGGCATTTCGGGCGACGCTTGGGTAGGCCTGTACGAGGCGGGATCGAGTTTGACCAGCGCCAAGGTGGGCACCAGCGGCAGGGTCCAAGCGACCAGGGCGGACATGAAAATGTAATGGCGCGGATAGGTAACGCCAACGACCTTCACGTAGCGTTTGAACTGCAGGAAGCCGATGATGAGCATCCAACTGAAGACGACCAGCAGGAAGTACTGCATGAGGGCACCCGCAATCAGGCATCGATCTGAGAACTGCAGTCTCCGCAGCAGCTCCCCCTTGCCGATGTCCATGAAGAAAAGCGTCTGCAGAGCCAATGCCAGGCAGAGATTGAGCAGCACCTTGGTGGAGGCCAATCTGCGGAAGCTTCTAAAGAGCGCCGCAGTCAGGAAGATGGCCAGCAGTCCCACCAGCGACAGACTCAGCCCCACATTGGTAATCATGTCCAGAGTTCGATCGTCCTCGTAGTTGTCCACACCAGTCTGAATCTTGCTGATGCCCAGCAGAAAGGAGAACTGTGTGAGGTGATCGGCATGACAGAGGATGACGGGATCGAGTGGGGTGTCCAAGCTGTCGCTACTACTGCAGGTGGTAATTCCATCACTCAGCCAGGTCTCATAGTTCCAGTAGCCACACCCTCCGCCTTCCATCAGGGAGGAGTTTTCGTTGCCATTTCGCAAGAAAAACGGCAGCTTCGACGGCAGGGAATTATCTGCAAGGAGAACTGAAAGTTACTCGAACTGCGGGGAAAGTTGAATTGTTGAACAACTCACCTTCCATTCCGGGAATGGATATCGATATGACGGCACTGCTCGGCATTCGCACTGGGCTCTCGGTCTCCACAAAGAGGGAATCGCTCGTGTAGACCTTGAAGACCAGGAACGTGGCTCCCTTCTGCTTCAGCTCTCTCCACAGTTGTTCTGGTAGAAAGGCAGCAGTTTGCAGCCCCTTTCTGGCCCTGATATTCTCCAGGCTCTCGGATGAACTCAAGGGACTGTAGTCAAATCCTTCCACATTGGACCCGGAGGTGGAGTTACCTTTTCGATCAGTAGGAAGGTTGTAAATGGCGATTCCCGTCACATTGGCGCACTCCGGATTCACAAAGAACACGCTGAGCTCGTTGCTGATAAGAGCGTGGACTCCCACATGACTCAAAATCTGGTTCTTCACGTGACTCTGGTCCTTGGCTTCAACGTCGCAGCTCTCTTTGGGCACCAACTGCGGCGGCAGGGCATCCAGATAGTCCTCAAAGTTGCTCAGCAGGGTGTTGGTGGCATTCAGCTCGGCCGAGATACGCAGAGTTTCCCTGTCGGTGGCCATCACCTGCAGGCAGATTCCGATCAGATCGGACACTACTTTGGGATCCTTTTTCGGCTTCTCCAGAAGCGACTCGAAGATTTGCGCAATGCTGAAGATGTCGACGGGTCGCAGTGGTTCTTGCGACTGCCTCAGCAGATCACTTAATCTGCTAATCATATCCGGGGGACTCTCCACGGCTAATCGGTTTAGATTTGAGCTCAGCTGCTGTCCACCTCGGCAGGTGACGTTGCTGAGACTCTCCCACTCCCTGGTTCCATTGCGAATCCCACATTTACGTCTCACGGGGAAACCCCTCTCATCCAGGCACAGCTCCCGCAAGTTGGCCCATCGCCCCACTCTAGTTCTCTCCACGTGATTCCTGCGGGACTCCACCTCTACTTCATCGCCCGTCTTGTAGTTGAGCTCAAAGTGCTCTGCATCACAGTAGCCTCTTCCACAGGCCTCCGCCGGACTATTGGCAATCCTCTGGATGTCGTCGATGCAGGGCAGGAACGGAATGAATCTGAAGTGGCAATAGTCCAGGCACTTGCCGATGCTGAGGTGGGGCTGCACATAGAGCTGGGTGCTCCGACTGGTTGTGTTGCTAGACAATGCAAACCTGAAGGCCCAACATAAGCCCAGAAGCCTTAGCATCTCGTCGGGAATTTCGATTTAATTCAATTTATGCGCTGTCCCCGTTGTCTCACTCCCAAGCGCCGCGATCGACTGACTGGACTGAGGCTGGGAGGCGTGTGACTGGCGATAAAACTAGTTCCGCTCTCGCCATACCCTAACAAATAGGGCATATTCCGTGTGGTCCGACAGGCGAGGTTGCCAGGAGACTTGATGTATTTCAATCAAAAACAAGAGCAGCTATCGAAGATGTAGATCGTCTTTGGCTTCGACTCAAGGCTAACAAGTTAATCAGCTCAGATTATTGGAGTGTGGATGGTTAATGGCTCCATTAATCAGTGGCTTCGTTTAAGTATTAAAATTAGGTACAGAGCGTGTGCCAACACTTGTGTTGCTTCGAGAGGGTATCCCGAGTTCGATTGTGGGCTGTGTTTATTCCTTAATCATTGTGAGTGACTCTAAGAGAGGCGCAAACATTACATCTGTGGGTCAGGAAAAGCGTTGGGGCTAAGTAATCATCCATCGGAAACTGTGTAGCACGTCAGTTCGATAATCAGCTACCTTTAGCCGGCCCTCTCTGTCCGACCCGACCACCTGCCCATCAGATTCAGGCAGCCGCCGTCTCTGGCGAAACAATCTGTCGATATGTGGCATTAGAATGAGCCGCGTGAATAATTAGATGCGCCGCGGCTTGAGCGTCTGCCAGCAACCTGGTCGTCGGTCAATGAGCACTTGATATTCTTCCACTCCACCTCTAAGGCCACTCGAGGTGGGAGAGTTAGCGCGCGCTGTCCCACTTGGAAATGCTTACAATATTTCCCGACAATCTCCGTCTCGAGGCTCTCCATCAGCTCTCGACAGCATCGGCGGCAGAAGATTAAAACGACGCTGGCCGTTGAATCAGAACTATTTTTACAAAGTTTGCTGTACACAACATAAAAGTGCATTTATTTATAGAGTCACAACTAAACTCTGGACACAACTCCGATTACCCGCAAGAAGCAAAATCCAGTATTCTGTACTGGTTTCACTCTAATGAGTTGGTTGTTGCTCCTGTAGCCTTTGGCACTCGACATGCTCTTTTGGAATTCAAATTGTTGCATCTTCGCATTACATTATGGTTGCAACTGAAGGTCGCATGCATGTCGACAAATAAATGACAATATAAGCTAAATCCCACCCAAGATATCTTATTTGTGGCTTATCTTTCAATTTAAAGCAGTTTGCAAGCATATTAATAAATATAAAGATATAGAAGCTAAGCAGTTTTGGGAGAAACATATTCATGACAATATATTTCCACACTTCATGAATAACATTTGTTTGCTGAAACTGATTAATTCTGTCTTAATCATAACTCGCATAACTCGCTTTCCACTAACAATGTGAACATGTTGTATATATCAGATATCAGGGCTCGGTACGGCACCAAGGATTGTGGATGGAAAAAGTCTCTGCCGCTGCACTGCCTGGCCGTCTGCCAAGTTGTCTTCGCACACAAATATTCGACTTTGGATATTAGAAACTAAAGTGCTAATGACCATAGGAACGGGATCTCAATCATTTTCCTCTTTGGTGTTTGAGTTTCAAACGATTCGATGCAGAAAGCATTTGAAATATTTATTTCCACTGCGAAATTCTCTTCATTCAGTGTGAAAATATTTGTGTTGGCGTAGGGGCTCGGAGCCATATTGTCCACTGGCACGTAGAAAACAACGAAAATTCAGCAAAGAACGAGATGCTGAGGAGGTGACGGGCGGAGACGGAGGTAGAGGAGAACACCTCCCATTGTTAGCCATCTAGCCGGGCAACATGTTTTTGGCTGTGTGTGTGCGGAGTGAACGTGAGCCCGGCAAAGTTGGTTCCACTTCAGGAATTTATTTACTCGAGTGTGATGCGATTATCCTGATGCACTTGTCCTTTGTCTCAGTGCGCCAGCAAGGAGCGCCTGCTGGGGCAAACGAGCACACAAGCAGATTCAACAATATTCAGCACGGAGCTGTGTATGCGCTGCAATTGAGATGCCCAAAAAAGTTTTCCATTAACCTCCCAACTCCTTCGATGTATCCTTGCCCTACGCTTGTTAATTAAAGGCCAGTAAGATAGTCATCATTTGGCAGCCAGCTTGATTAGAGTCTAGAGGCGAAGAGGCGTTCTACTCCCTGCCACGCTCCATTTCACTTGCACAATGTGCCAGGTCTATGCAACTGCTTGGCTTTTCGCGTACCGTGGTTATCTCTAGTCCATTTCTTACCAAGTTGCGCGGATGAAATTGGATAAAAAATCGGACTTTTAATGGTTGAAAATGTCTAGAGCAGGCGGCTCCATTCCTTCTGGAGATGAGCTTTTGTTTTGCTTTCGGAATTGATGGTAGCTAGGAAAGTTTGTTGAGGCTAAAACTATATCATAGCTCAGTGGCCAGTAAGTATCAAATAAGTGCATAACTTTTCACTGGAAGTCAGATAAAACATCAAAACATCACCAAATCAATTACCAATAAATTATCATCATCTAATTTAATTTTTGGCCATCTCTGATTAATTCTGGTTTCTCTGGTCTAACATTTGAAGTTGCACCAAACCGCAGGGCAGAGTGACAATGGCTGTGATAGTCTGATGGCTGCTTACCTGGCTTTCCTGTGGCGACTCTGCCTTTCCCATTGGCAGCAACGGGCCACCACTCCTCCATCAGTGTCAGGAACAGTTGTGGGTGGCCTGTCAGCGACAGGCTTGGGTTCGGGTCAGCTTGCGGCTACACGCTGACGTTTATCGGGAACCACAGCCGAAGGAAGTTGAACCATTGTGCGTTTTGTGCTGGGGACAGTGGGGACAGGAGTGCGATTAAAACCGCACGGCCACGACAATGAAAACTTACACAATGCACAATCTTTTATTATGCTTTGTGGTGAATAATTAATTTATGCACTGAATATCTCATGGATGCACAGGGCTCCAATGGGTCAGCACTTGTCCAAAGTAATTCCCGATGCCGCCCTCCAACAGGTTCCGGTCCTGGCTGGTCTGCCAGTCAATTAAAATTTCGGTAGTGCTGTACGAATGGATGTCGTTTGCTGATTGTAATGCAAGTGGCTCTAATTTATTTGCTGCCTGCCACATCCACTGGGCCACGGAGGAGCTGTTTTCTTCTGCTCGACTGGAGCTGCCCCGAAACTCTATTGTCGTAGGTAAATTATGCGTGAGCCATTGACTGAGCTAAGGCAGAGCTCTGCTCCCAGCTGACAAAAATCAGCAGAAAGCAAATAAATCCAGCGATAAATAACATCAGCAGTGGAAGTTGAGCGATTAAGAAGACGAACTGAATGCAGAGCAAACAATTGTAGAGAGACGGAAAATTGAGCGAATGATTAACAGACGCTTCTGGGAAATGGGATTTGAAGAAGCTTTACTTAGAGTTGAAAATGGATTATAATAAGAATGCTGAAAATTTAACTTCCAATCTCTTTATTTGTTTTCTAAAATGTACATAATGTTCTGAATGATTTTATGAACTATTCTTTAAACTTGTAGATCTTTTATCTCTCTCTTTTTTTTAAGCCATTATTCTTTAGTTTTATTGGCGAATGGTTAACCGATTAAATTAACAGCTTTAAAAATTGTTTTTATGATTTAAAATAATTTATTTTGGATTTGTTTTTGACTGATTTTAAAAATCTACCTATGCGAACGTTCAAAAAATAGACTGCTGCCATCTGTTGGCCAGTGGCTGCGTTCGCTCTCTCTACATGTATACAACGGCAACTACATAGCCATGTAAGTATAATAGCTTTCGGCTCTGTTAAGTTTGCAGAACAGCTTTCGTTGTTCGCCTCGAAACGGCGAGGGTGGGTGAGTAGTAGGTGGCCGACAGGACCAGCTCCTAGCCCCCACAATGGGTCCTTTAATACGGCGTGCACGAAGCACGGGCCGCTCAGTCGTCGACGGCTGTTCCAGGCGAATTGTTCAAATTACGGAAACAGTTGCTGAGTAGAGTGAAATTTATAACGGAGAGAACGGTGAACGGAGCACGGATTCTTTGAGCCTCGCGCGCGTATCGCTTATCAGGAGTCGACCAGGCACTCATCAAGTGAAAGTTGTCAGCTATCGGAGTGCACGGTGTACGGTACGAGTGGAGTGAGAAACTACGGAGAAAGTAAAATACTAAACGCAAAACAAATAAATCACACACTGAGGAGAAGAAAAGAATAAACAAAAGTGAGAGAGCGAAATCGCAGAATAAAAATAAAAAGCAGCGCGCGTTAGAAGCAAATGTAAATTACAGGCCCACAAAAAGAGCGAGAGATATCCAATCCAGAAGAGATATATACAGTTACAGATATATACATTTATTTAAGAATATGTGTATAATGACAGAACTTTGCGGTTCTTTTGTGTCTTAAAGGCCGCCGCCTCAAAAATTAAAGCCCTACATTTGTGCGCTCCAATTTATTTCGTGTTACTGCCTGCATATTTCACGCCATTATTGTCTGGTCCATGGATATGGGAAATGTGGGATGGGGACCCATAATTTATGTTTCGTATTCTGTTCTGTGTTCTGTGTGTGTTTTGTCGCTGTTTTGCCCAAGTTGCCAAATAGAAATATTTGCCCCAATATGTCAAAGTTTATTAGACATTTTGCTTTGCGTGCCCACGGCAATTTGCTGACAGTTGTTTTAGTTGCTCCGCTGGACGATAGTGAATGTCCATTATATTTGATAAATGCCCCGTGCCAGACACAGAGTTGAATGTACAATTGACAGTCTCCGCTTCGCTCCGCTCCTCTTACTCACTCTTTCTATCTGGAAAACGAAATTCAACTCGACACGACATTCCCCCTTCCGTCATACTGGGGCCACGAATTGTGTGTTCTTTGTCCGAGCTCTGCCTCATTTTGTGTCCTGGCCTAATGGCAGGCTCATCATTAACTCAGTTATTGTCAGTTTAGCGCTAAATTGACAAGCAGACAGAGACAGCCACACACTTTCCAACGGGTCCGCGTGAATATCGTTTTGTTTTTAGCGTCATTATCAAACGGCGTGCCCGTCATCGCCAAATAGCTTCATTTTAGGCCCCTGACAAATAGCCCCACCACTGAATCGAAGCAACTTGGCCGTACTCCAACGAATTGAAGCGACTTGGCTCTACTCTAAGTCTGGCCAAACAAACGCCAAGCCCGAGCTACCGACACTTGGCCTCTTATTTACACTCTTGTCGACGGACGCCCGAAAATACAACAAGGACCTGCTTCGATTCCCACTTTTGTTGACAGAGTGCCACTGTCGCACCGTTCTCAAAATGCCGAATGTTGCACGTAATTAAAATTCGCTCAATTGGAAGGATGCTTTGCTTTCCTCCTGCCGTGATAAAGTCAAGACCCGGAGCCCCTAAGGTCATTGAGAAATATGGCTGTCTGAACTCGCTGCTGATTAATACCGAGTACTGCAGCAGTCGTAATAAGCCAGAGCAAAAGTGAACAAATATTCGCGATGAAGGTTGACAGGAAGATGAGAAAAATGTATACATATGTACGTACCTTAACGGTTCTGCTAATGGGTCTGCAGCCGCAGCTACACAAATAACTAAGAAAATCGATTTTCCTTTTTAAAGGCCAAGGCTGGAGTTGACTTAAAGTGTAGGTTTGTCTGTTGCCCGGGTTAAGTCCCTTACGGCTGGCCGAATACCAAGCTGCTGCTGCTCCCTGTTCTCACAATTATCATTGCTTTGCAGGTCCACAAGCTTCCAAGTCCCATCTCAATTCGAGTCCCACTTGATGCCCCACCTGTCTCCCACCGTCTCCCAAAGAGCTGCCAGGGCTTTTCGGGATGTTCTGTGCGGCGCTGTTCAGGCACTGCCTCAAGGGGTTTCCCGTGCCTAGGCAACTGCTCAACTTCAAAAAAACTCAATGTTGGTGCTGGCAATGCCTTAATTGCCGTGCACTCGTCGTGGCGCATAAATTTCGAGATTCTCTCATACTTACACTTACACCTGAGAGTTGTGTTTGTATAATTAACCAGCGTATGCACCCTCTGTTGCTGCTGCCACGCCACACTGCCGTTTTAGTTGCCTCTATTTTTTGTTGTAAAGATACACTTACCATCGGGCACGGCATTCTGCCTTACTCATGTGACTATTGTATTCTAAACTTCTTGGTGAATACTTAAGGAACTACCTAGATCTAGGTGCAACTTTTCTGGATCCCTGAGAAGAGCATCAAAGTTTCGATAAGGCTCTGCTCAAAGTCTTCCTCTAGCCTTCTTTTTGCCTGTTTTTGTTGTGACCCAGTTGATGGTTGTTCGGGTCTTGGCATGGTGTCGTTGTTGTTGCTGTTGTGCCTTTGGCTTCCGCACGTGTTGCATGTGGCATTCAACAAACAGGCATATTCCAGCGATACAAGAATGCAGTTGTAACAGCAACTGCAAAGGCTATGAAGCCATGGCCCCAGAAACCGTTGGCCAGGACCCCTTGATCCGCTCGAGGCCCGTTCAACTTTTGTTTTTCCGCTCATTTAAATATTTGATTAGTGTAGGTATTTGGGAAAAGCCTCAGAAAAGCCATACTTTTGAAGAGAAATAAGAATTGTAAAGGAAAATATGTAGCGCAGGGAAAGACCGTCATGAAATATTCATGGCCGCAGTGGCATCGTTTGATTCGCCACAATTCCACGTAACGAATGAGTCCCCAGACCATCCATGTCCATTTTTCACCCATTCATAATTGGACAGACCACAATATTTATTTTGCAATTTTCATTAGGGCGGTTTTTCCGTTTATCATTGCTGTCATATCAGGTGTGTGTTAAAGCAAATACAATTTATTACGTTTTCAATTGTTGTACAGTCTCGCGCTCTCGGGGTTACCCTCTCCCGCGTTCGGTGGCGGAAACTGTCTGACAGATACACACGTATATAAGTGAAAGCGAAATAAAATGCAATATCAGTATTGAATAATCTGGTGTCCAATTTCAGTTGTGATATGCATTTGAACATATTCATTGCGAAAGTGAATTAAATACGCGGGCAAAGCGTTTCAATTAAGGGAAAATCGGAAACGAAAAAATCACCCAAAATGGTAAGTGATTGCAAAATGTAATTAAAATAAAAACTAATTGAAAATATTCAATTAATGTGCGATAGAAATCATTTCAATAGAGAAGCCAGAAGGCAAACAACATTCCTTTCAATAGGTTTCCTGGCCGTTAGGCATTTTCAAAGCCATCTCAATCAGAGTCCTTGTCTCAATTCTATTGATAACAAGCAAATCAACTCGATTCCTATCCAAAGAGGTCCTCACTATGACATATGCAAAGAAATGTTGATCTAATGCATTTTAAACCTCCGCCATTCAATATCCCTGTTTTCAATCCCAGAAATGACACACGTGTGGTGCCTCTGGGGGAGTCTCTGGATGGCATTTGAGGCTGCTACAACATTTCAATGTGCTCTGGCCCAACAAAGGCAATAAACATCAAATATCGGTTAGATACATCTTCATCAGACAACCAAGCAGAAAAGCACAAAAGCACAAAAAAAGCAAGAATAAAACAACATGAAAACGAGAAGCAACAGAAAAGGGAATCAGGGGCCGGAGCAGCGGTAGACACAAGAACGGAGCCTGTTGTTCGACCAACTAGACGTATGCGTAATGTATGTAAATATATTTCAAGTATTTTGCTTGTTTAGTATTACTTCCGGCGGAAGCGATTGATTGTGTTGCGTATCTGGGATACCCATAGGTATGCGAGTCTGCCTGTCTGCCTGTCTGGCTGCTCCTCCTTTCTCTCCATCTTTGGTGGCGTCCCGTAACAAATCAAATTGATTGCTTTTTGGATACATTTAAAATGAAATGAAAGTGCGCAATGATTTTGCATATTTCAAATCTATCGTTTCGAGTCCCGTCTGGGAATGCAATTAAAATCAAAGAGAGGCTCTAGCTTCTGCTGAGATTGTTAAGAGCCAAATCGGAGACAGCATGGATAGATAGATATTTATGCCTATTTAAGCGCTTGTCATAAACATCACTGCCATAAACAAATCGTTCTCCGTTCTCTTTTGGCTCTCTACAGTATGGCTTCGTTAACTACGCCCTGGAGCTGCTGGTTCTGAAGCACTTTGGCGAGGAGCTATGGGAGAAGATCAAGTAAGTACAAGACCAAGACCAAGTGTCGGACAAATAGTTACACAAAACCCATTAGCAAATGAAACCCCAAAGGGGATGGGATTCATATCCCCTCTATAAGTTCTCATATTACCCATGGAAACCATCTGGTATTCCACAGTAATTTCTGGTCAAACAGATTAACAGCATAGCGCACTTAATTAATAACTAAAATACATAAATTGAGCACATTTGTCTGCCATGTACCGCAATTAACTAATTATCCATTTTTCACATTCGGACATGGTCATGGGCGTGGGCACGCCCACACAGAGCAGTACAGAGGAGAGATATACATAAATTAATTGAGTTTGTTTGCTGTTGGCTGTTGCTGCCTGTTGGCAGTAGGTCGGGGGCAGGGCAGTAACGCGACGCATTAATGCGTACACGGACGTTCCAGCCCCCCAGTGCAGCCCCAAAGTCTAGGGACTACGGGAAAAATCAACGCCCAAAAATGGCTACGTGCCGGCTGTAAGGATGTGTTTGTGCTAAGACTATATACAATTCGCATTCATCTTAATTAAGTTATTGATATTGCCGCCTGAATGTGTGTTCGTGTGTGAGTCATCGACTAAACCTAAGTCTTGTGGCAATGGTTCCCTGCTAATTGGCCATGATTTATGAATTTGGATTGTTTAACCGCAAGTCACTTGCCATTTGTATTGGCCACGTTTACAGATTGCTAATGAATTGAACCAGTCAAGAGTTGAGTCGTCGAGTGGAGTTGATTCTCGTCTTCGGCTTGGGTGCGGAGAGCTCTTGGGCCAGAGAACCCTTTAATTATGGAGGAGAACTTTTCTCATTAGAAGAGAAAAAGGTAACAATGGCAACGTTGAAGCATACACTGGGAGAAAGCAGCTGAGAGAGCAGCTTGCCAAAGTAAATATTCCATCTAACTGGGAAAATTATCCTTAGGGAATCCATATTCGCAGCTGTTGCTGCTCCCCATTTCTTTGCCTGCATTGGCAGCCCCTTCATTTCGAATGCCTGACAATGGGGTCGCCAATGACATGACTTTAATTACATTGCAGTTAGTTGGCAGCTAGAGCCGTTGTGGCAGTGCCACTGCCAGCGCCAGTCAGAGAGCCATGGCGATGCCGAGGGCAATCGTTGCAGCGAGAATCAAACTCATTATCCTCCACTTGAGGGCCCCAAGACAAAGACGTAGCGCCGACTGGGCTCTCACCCTTGGGCGACAGTCCTCGGTCGTCTGTCGTCTGTCGTCTGTCGCCTGTCCGCTATCCTCAGGCGTTGTCCTCGCACTTGAAGGCATTGTCAAAGCGTTCATTAAAAACGAAAGAAAAGAAAAGGAGGCCCCACGACCAAGACTGCCTTGACTCGGCATTGGCAATGGCATTTGCCTTGATTGACACCCAGCTGACCACGAAGACTGATAGTTGGGTGTCCGACTACCTCTTTGTCTGTAGCATTGATTGCTTTTAAAGAACCTTAAAGTCTACTTACTTCTCCCTCTTCGTGGCTGCTTCTCATGTTGGCGTTCACTTAATCAGAATCAGGACTCTCAGTGCTTTATGCTGCTTGGTGTTGCTGCTTGCTGGCTCATAATTGCTGCACATCAATCTGTAAATGAGACTCATTAATTTGCCTAAAGAAGCTGCTAGATTGAAGCAAGGGATATCCAGTTTAAAGCGTATTTTCTCTGGCCCAAGGCAGGACTTTTAAGTTTCCCCAAAAATTAAATCGAAAAGCTAACAGGGAGATTCATATTAAGTGAATTTTTATTTGCAGTTTTTGTGTCTGTCGTTCCACTAATACTCAGAGGAAAAGTTTTTAGTCATTTCTGCCACATTATGGCTGTTTCTGTGGCTGCTTTTGCTGCTGCTGCTTACGCGTGTTTGTGGAACTTTAGACAAAAATCGATTTGCCTATAAAATGTTTTACAGCACCACTAGAAAGCAAAGCAGAATATTGCTTCTGTTAGAATTAGACTTACCCTCTCACTCTAAAACTCTTTCTCTCTCACTCTTTCTCTATCGGTATGTGAGTGTGTCAATATGTCAGTCAACGTACATATATGTATAGTGGGTCCTGTCATATGAGCCGATGCCGAGGCTGATGCGTTGGTCAGTCGCTAATGGGTTCCAATCCCTCATCCTATTGCTAGCGCTTTCCTTTCGAGGGAAATTTCTCGAATGATATCACACTAATTTGCTTAAGTGTGGAGTGCTTTTAGCCATTACTCTCTCTCTCTCCCTCTCTCTAAAGCAAAAAGTTCTACCGAAATTGAGTTTTCCACCTGCCACTCCCAATTTTCATCCTCATTCTCATTCATTCAACTTCAAGGTTTTACCTGATTCAGAGAGCTATTATTAAATCATCATCATATCATATTAAATGTAAATTTGTTTCAAATTTTCGAAAAGAACACGTTCCAATGGCGTTTACCAAATATTTTTGCGACTTATTAGCTCCGAATAAGGGAAGGAGTTGCTAAAACGAATGCTAAAAATCCATCAATCTTCCTTTCGCTTGGCTGAAGTATCCCTTAGGATTACATTTGGATTTGTAGTGGGAGTGGGAGTGGGAGTGGGAAAGGAACTGGGGACTGCTTACTGGTTACTGCGGACTGGGAAAGCAATCATTCAGCATTTTGTCAGACATCCTGCAGAGGCCACGTGTGCGATTTCATTGCACGCATTAAGCATTAGCGAATCCTTTTACATTAAAAGCGCATTTGGAGACACATGTAAAAATATTTGCGTCTATACATAGATTGGGTAATGCCACGCGGAAATGCGTTCAGTAGGTTTTTTCTGTGGCAGCATCAGGCCATTAGTTGCCACCGCTCCGCCCCCAAACGAATTCCCGTTGACCTGACTTTGCTATTTTGTTCTTTTCACTTTTTTTGGCCAAGTTTTTTTTAGATATTCATACGAACACAGGACGACACGTCTCCTCTTCTCCACGCCCTCAGCATTATGTCTTTTTTTCTCCTCTCCACACCTCTCGGCCACCACAACACACTCACACACACCCGCAAAAACACAACGAAAATCGATCGCATTTTCATGGCAGACATTATGGAAATTCGAGTCGATTTTCGAGTGGTGGTGTGGTGCGTATGTGGTAGGAAAATGGAATATTTGGAGCATGTAACGAGTTGAGTGGGTGGCATGGGATAGGGAAGATTTTTTGGGGAAGGGTGCGTGCTAATGCGTCAAAAAATGTGCCTGGGCCTGAGCCTGGGACTGGGACTGGGTCTGGGCCTGGCCAAAAGTTTTCACTCAAACAAGCTCCAACAGATGGCAACGTCTGAATTTACTGAATGCAAACTTTGCCGCAGGCTGCGTGTTGCTTACCAAACAAACAAGAGCCAAAGGGAAAACACTAGCACGGGCACGAAAACGGAAGTTTCCCTGCTCTGCTCGACTTTTTGCATTTACAATATTTTCGCCATTTTGTCAACTGTTTTCGACAACGGCAGCAGCAGAAGCAGCAGCAGGAATAGCAGACAGTGGCAAATATTGTTACGCTTTATTGACTGCCGTGATGTGTAGCATCTTCTCCGTGTCAGCTGCAGCCACGCCCCCTACTTGCCAGCATCCGTACTTGATGATGCCCCGCTCTGGCATTTGACACGTTTTCGCACTTATCGCCGAGATTACTTTTTGCTTTGATTGCATTTCTTTAGCCCCGGCTCGACGACGACTCCTTTTGGCTGCTTCATTTATTGTCCGTTTGATTGCTTCATATTTTTTGCCCAAAACCTGGTATCTGTCGCCGTCCCCTGCCTCACGCCACCGCAGTTTATTGTTGAAAGTTTTCCGTTGTCGTTTTATGGGCTCCACTTTTATCGCTTTATGAATTATGCGTCGCGTGCGTGCGCCCAAAAGTTGGCGGCGCTGCGCATACGCAATGTTGGATTCATTCTTGAGATTCATTCAGCCGGACATTATCTCGCCGTTAATGGCTTGTCTTCGAGTCCTCGAGTATCCTTTTGTTCGTTTGAGTCAAATGGAGTGCAATAATCTAAATAAAATGTAGAGCAAGGATGGGCTTATTATAGACGGGGCACTGAAGCAGCAGTCAATGGGCGGGGCCATGCGATTCTGGCCAGCCATTAGGCAGACAATGGCAGGGTGAATGGTTCCCGACTCTGCCTTCCAGCATTTCAATTACAGGGTAGATGCATACCACCTTTGCTTAAGGATTCTGCTTTGAAATCCCAACCCCCTCACCAGTAACAGCGTGCGGCCGGTGGCTAATAGCATAATCCCTGGGTTTTCCACCAAACTAAAGAGCCCACGCAGTATTCCATTAATGCGTATTAATAATACCTTGATACAGTGGGCATTAAATTTGCACACTAGCTACAGTCTAGCACCCATTTTGCGCCTGGGGTTTCGCAACACCTTTTTTAATTAAATGCAAGAGTCGAAAATAGTGTATCCCGGCTAAACGAGCGCATACGCTCAAATGTAGGTAGTTTCCGGTCAACTAGACGCATACGCAATATACAGTTAGTAGGCCTGCTGCTGGATAATTTAATAAATGCCCAGCCTTGCATTGTGGCACTTTGGGGGCGTGTCTGGGCACGTACTTCGTGCATAAATGCATCAGTGAAATTTGTATTTATTGCATTTTGCGAATTGCGACACGCTCGAGGTCTTTAGGGGGGAGGGGGGAGGGGGGACCGAGCAGGACACGTCGCTTAAAAGCAATTTATTTTCTCCATATGCGAGGGTCAGCTGATGTTCTACCCGTGGTTCGGGGCTTCTGGCCTGTTGCCCAACCAGCCGAGCGTGGCTCAAACGTTTTCCCCCTTCATTTCTCATTCCTTTTGCTGTTGCTCTAAGTGTGTGTGTGTGTGTGTTGGTTTTTTAATATAACTAACAACCACAGTGGAGGCTCCCAGAGCGCATTCGTTACATTCCGAAATTGCATTTGGGCCAGTGGTAGAAATCTCCATATTGAAATCATGTCCTCGCCCAAAGAGAACTTAGTGACAGCTGATATCGGTC